ATATGTCAACAGCACTGGCCTTTTGCCCAAGAGTTCAGGGCTTAGCACATTAATAAATCAAAGACTCAAAGACACTAATTCTCTCTTGTGCCTGAAGGAGGTTAACTCACTTTTTCCAAATGACTATGTTACTCTGAAGTAATTGAAGGTGAAGGGAACATTCTCTTTGTTTTACTGAAGCTATTCTACTTTGCACTGGCTGAAGCCAAGACTCAGTTGGGTCCAACAACATGAAAATGTGAGCATTTGGCTATCCATAGCGATTTGTCACTCAGCTGAAAGGAAGAAGAAAATAGGAAATGCCGAGTTTCAGTCCGCCTTTCTGAAAAATGCTTCACTATTACATGCTAAGCATGCATTGCATCGAGCCTTTAAACCAAGAAGTGGTTGGAAATTTTGTACCAGATGAGACCCAAACTGAAAATGGATAGTATTTTTTTTTACTTGAAGTGATTTGAAACCACACAGCATAAAGACTCCCACACAAAGTTTTGTTCCACTGAGATCTCTACACTGAACTCTTCAATTTTTCTGATAAGTGCAAGCTGTCAAGAGCAGAGCTTGTCAAGAGCACTTAGATGTTTCTCACATTATATACTTAGTTATTAGTATTGTTTGCTTGGGATGTTCATAATGGATAGAATTCATCCGTAGGCAGAGGGACAGGGAAGGACTGCGTGCCACTGAATTCCTGTGTAGGCCTGCATATTAGCCTTAAAACAGAAATGAAGTGGGGCATGGCCTTCCCTCTCCCCCACTCCCAACAGGACTAAGTTAGATGTAAATTGCAATACCTAAAATAAGTAGAAGAGTTTCCTTGACAAATTGTATAGGGTTAAAAAAAACACATAAAGTCTCACTGCTAAATCCAGGCAGTGGATTTAGCTTGATTTTTGTAGTGCATTAAAGAGGACAGAGTGCAGCGGTCAGGAAGTCCCTTGTAAATTTGCCTGCCATAAAGCTAGTTTTAACCTACGGGTCTAGTGGTAAGGGGCAAGCTGAATCCCTTGCTGGTTTCAGGGAGTGAATTCATGTGTTGAGCTGGGCTCCAAGAACAGGATTTTCTTCTAAAACTGGAAATATCATTAATATGCCACAGAAAATGTCAGGGGTTTAGAGCTATCATTTTATATCTCTTAAAAATAATCTTTTTTTAAAAAATCAAAGTGAAATTAGACATAAAAGATAATCATTTAACATTGAAGTGTGATATTAAGTACTCAAAAGTCTGGTAATGAAAATGTTCCCACAGTAGCCATAACCTGTCATCAGATTTCACAGGTGACTTCTCTCTAAGCATTCAGTGTAGTGTAGTACTTCGAATGTTGGTGAAAGGTAATAAAAAGCCCTAGATATGTAAGATGGATAAGTCCATCATAATGTGAGATTTGGTGAGTATTTTTGCTACTGTTATATGTTCATTATGGTTAATTTTACTTAGATTTTTAAGATTAAATCATAAAACACAATAGGATTCATCTTATATTTACTTCGAAAATAATGTAATTCTGAGATAGTAGGTAGAAGAAAAGTTCGTTCAGGGGTTTAACATAGCGGTGTACCAGACTAAAGGTCCTGTGTAGTCTATAAAAATAAGGATTTTCCCTATGCAAAACAACATAAAAAAAAATGCATTTCATGCAAAATCATGTGCAAATCACATACTGCCAATATTCTCAAGCATGCAAAAATTATGGCTCAAACTGCAAATAGGATTTTTGGATTGGATATAATTTCTTTTACAGATACAAATAAAAATAACTTTTGTTTTCTTTGCTATTGTGTTTCTGAGCCTGCCAATATAATCTGTCGGTTTAAAACCCTGTTACCCTCCTGTTTTCATTTTTGTTGATATCAGTTAAAAATATGGAACTTTTACATCATAATTTTATTAACAATTTTTTCTGCAATGTGTTTAAGATGTGTTCTCCATAAATATAAAGTATTTGCTAAAAATTTTTGGCTTATGCAAGAGTTATTTCCATTTATAGCTATATCAATTCAAAGGAACTGTTAATTGGATTATTTGATTAATTCAATAGACTACATCTAGTAGAATTGGTTTTTTTAAAGAAGTACATTTGAAGAAAAGATAAAATACCCCAAGAACTTCAGTTTTCATTAAAATTACATCATAGAAAACCTCAAGATTTTGGGGTTTGTTTGGTTGTTTTTATTAAATTGGTTTAGTATCTTAAAGCAACAAACCATCTTAATTTTATAGTGCTATCAAGGGGATTGATAAAACTCAAATAATTTCACTTCTTTCATGTGTATTTTCTGGACCAGCAGTAAAAGATAGCATCTCTTTAACAGATTCTGTTCTTCCCGATTGAGGTACTGCATACTGAACACATTCAAAGTGTTGTTTATATTTTGTTTCCAAAAGACTATTTTTATTTCAGCTTCAACTCTTATCTACATGTCTTACATCCAGCTATAACTGTTGTACTCCAGAGCTAAGATTTTCCATTCTTCATATCAATGTAATTGTTATTAAAATTCTAACTTTCTAAGAGAAAGAAAGCCATTTAAAAGCAATAAAGGAAAAAGAAGAAGTGGGAAGTGTAGTGTCTACTGGAACTGCCTGGAGGAGAAGTTAGAGAACCAGCAGCAGGCGCGAGATCCTAGAAAGGGCAGGAGCAGGAGCGACAGGTTGTAAACCAGTGAAGTTTTTTAGTGTTGTGTGCAAAATGGAGTAAATATACTTTCTCTGAGTTTTTAAGAACTGTTCTGCACTCCTGGAGGTAAGTAGTTTCAGTAGACTGAGCTAGAGAAGGTACAGTGAAGACATCATCCCATCACACAATCCCAGCCACAAAGGAGTATGCCAGCATAGAGGGCAATAAGGAGATGTTTTCCGAATTAGAGGTGTAGCTAAATTTATCTGATAATCCCTGATGTTGAAAATTAAACAAATATATTGTGAGAATTCTTTCTTATGTATTTATATATTCTTTTGGGTTTCAGCAGGTGGAAAATACCGTGAGAAAGACCTCCCCTCTAGCAGAAATGTTGCTTCTGTTAATAACACACTATTGACAGAGAAGTGCAGGAGCATATAAAGAATTCTTTGTGAGGAAGGATTTGTTAATTTTTAAAAGGAGACGTGTGGGAGAAACCTGTGTTTGGATTAAAGTAGTTGTGAATTTAGGCGATTCAGTGAAGCATACAGAGCTCAGTGCTGTAAGGTACTGAACCTCAGGGTTCTGATCCAAAAAAGCATTTAAATACCTGCCTATTGTCAGGCTCCTAAATAGTCTTGTAGCAGGACATGGAATTTTTTATGTTCTTGAAGGTGTATTTCAGTGCTTTTTTTGAAACAGATCCATAGTACATTGCAGGTATGAGCCCTTGAGAAGCAAGGAGTACCAGTAAGGAAGTAAGTATAAACAGACCAACTAGAAATAATATCTTGATTTATGAAGTTACAGCAAAAAACTGGGCAGGAAAGGCAGAGCTGAAGACTACAGGGTGTTTCTAACAGAGAACTTTACTTGCTTAGTCATAGAGCGTGTTGTTACGTTTGAAGAAGCTAAGATTGTAAACCCAATTAGATATTGGTGTTAATCATGTTGTTGAAAATCAGAGTAACAAAACTGAAATCACTACTTGGTTTTATGATCGCATGCTGCAAAGCCAGAGTACTTCCATAATGCTAGCTGTCTCTTTAGATTTAGCATAATCAAACAATGATTTTGAGGTATGAAATGAAATGCCAGATACAAGAATAGAAGGAAGGCATGTAAATTTGTTTAAGTACATGAACGTATTTCTGGAAGAGAAAGAGCAGGGAAATCGCTGCATCCATGCGCTAAATATTTAGGTTGAATATAATGAAGTAGAAAATAGCTTGTGGCTTTCACTCTGAATAATGTAAGTACAAGCCCTGATGGATTGTTGTCTCTCCTCTTTCGATCTTGGTTATTCATGGGTTTCTCTAGGTGGACTGCAGGAATGTGACACAGCATCCTGAGATACTGGCTAAAACAAAAGAAAAGCAGGTTGTTGAGTGCTGCTGTTGTTACATTACTATTTATTTGCTTTTGTGTTTTGCTTTGTTTTGTTTTCCCCTGTGTCTCGTATAAAATATTACAATCTTCTTAGGTTCCTTTGAATCACAGAACTGCTCTGTCAAAAAGGCACTAGAGTGTTCATATTGCTCCTGCATTCTTTATAATTGTAATTATATTTCTGATTTGTAATTCTGAAAAACAGAATACTAAGTGGCTCAAAAATCTCCTTGAAGTTTGAGCTGTCATACCCTGAGTTTTGGTACTGACAAAGGTGGTTAACTAATGCTGGTGGTGTCTGGGTAAACTGTAAGGATGATCTAGTTTTTGTAGGATATTTAGATACCTAAACTCTTTGGACTCTTTCAAGATCTGTAGCAGACACACAACTGCCACTGAAGTCCCACTCTTCATTTTCATTTCGGTCTTTAAACACCTTTAAAATTTTTCCCTTTGGTCTGATCTAATGCCTCTTGAACTCTGACAGATATTTCCATCAGCTGTAGACAGTGTCCTGAATTAAGATCATGACGTTTATGTGATGTCAGCATAGCATCATTTCACTTCCCAGCTGGAGTTTTGAAATAAGGCTTCGGAAATGAAAATGCTTGTACAGATTTAGCAGCTACCACTTAATTTTCACATTCATCTTCTACTTAAGACTTCAAAGCAAAAGTGACATCTGGAAAGAATAACAACCTAGATCCAATTTTCGGGCGCAAGAAGCGCTGAGCAGCACCTGCTGATAGGCCATCAGACCGCTCTCCCTGTCGCTGCAGAGTGCCTCGCTGCCGATAACTTCATAACCTTCTCTTCCCTGCCATCTTCTGCAGTGAGAGGCATACAGCTGAATTGCAAGCTTGCACTGAGGCAAGTCTGGGATAATAACTGACAGTAAGAAGTGCGGTGAAATCACTTTGGGATAAAAAAGAAAAAAAAAAATCCTAAAGACCCTGTCAGTAGTGAGTGATCTCTCTGTTATTCTAGGATTAATACTGCTCTTTCTGTCCAGGGCTTCTGCAGAGTTGACATCTGCAGAGCATAATATCAGTAAACTGTTCTGGGAAGGTGAGTTAGAGCTTCCAAAAAAACCGTTGAAGCCTTTGGTATGTTTTTATTTAAGCAAAGAGTTTGCAAATTGTATGGTAGCATTTTCCTAATACTACAAAATCTAATTTCTCATGAAAAACCTCTTGAAGTCTAATGGCAAGCTAGCTCATTTAAACTTGCCTTCAGGGATTTCCAGTGCAGATAATCTGTGAGCATTATACACATCTCATTACCTGGATTCTTAGGCAAGCAGTGAAGTTATTCTTGCTGTAAACATTTTCAGAAGTGAGAATTTTGACAACTGAACACACATGTAGGACAAGACCTTCAAACTGTGTACCAGTCTGGTATAGTTCTTTCAACTGAAAGGAAATGCCAGCAATTTATCCCAGCCAAGACTCGGAGTCTAGTTTTTCTATATGGTAGTTGATCAGTTTTCTGTGTAAACCAGTGCTTGTTTAATCCTTTTTCTTTCCTGCCTTGTATTAGGACCCCCCCAGCGAACCGTGTCCCCCAAACAAGACCGTGAAGAAAGGAAGCGCGACAAGGTCTTGGACAAGGGCAGTGAAAGTGGGACTTCCTGTAACGAGTTGTCTACCTCGAGCTGTGACAGCCACTCGGAAGCGAGCACCCCTCAAGAAAATGCCACCAGCACTCAGCCATCCACCGCCCACCAGCCAAACACTCTGACTTTGGATCGTCCGTCTAAGAAGGCCCCAGTGCAGTGGATGCCGCCACCAGACAAACGCAGGAACAGTGAACTCTTTCAAACTCTCATTAGCAAGTCTAGAGAAACAAATCTTTCCAAAAAGAAGGTATGTGAGAAGCTGAGTGTTGAGGAAGAAATGAGAAAATGTATCCAAGATTTTAAAAAAATCCACATTCCAGATTATTTCCCAGAACGCAAACGTCCCTGGCAGTCTGAACTCTTACAGAAATATGGGTTATAGTAATCAACTCTTTCATGACGTATCTCTGGGGCATTTGATGTTTATTAAGTTGCCACTAACTGATGTCCTCCTTCTGGCCAACTCTGCCACCAGATCTATCCTGCTGCTTATTTCTTTCTGTGAACAGTGGATGTTGGATAGTACATGGTTTCTTTGAAAATATGTATAAAAAGATAGAAACTTAAAAAATACAAAAGGCGTCTCATCTAAACCACCCCGTAATAGCAAAGAAAAAACGTGCATGGTCAAGAAAGATGTTTTTTGAACTGTAGTCAGTTGAGCTTCATTATCGTTTTGGAACTTACCGAATAAAAATCTCAATCATCAGTTAACACCTCGTTTTATGTCACCAATAAAAATGACTCAGACTTGCTATGGATGAAGAGAAACAGGGTTTAAAATTCAGCTGAACTGGTTTCAGAACTAATTCCCAATGTTCTTTCAATGTTAATGCAATAAAGCAGATACCTATTTTGCATGAGCACAATGTTACAAATAAAATCACACAAGAACAAGAGGTTTTCTGTTGCTTGGAGAATTATTTGTCTGATACCAAGCCTATAAACATAAAACGTCTAAGGGATTGAATTTTCTTTGTTCTGGATCTGTGATTTTTTTGTGTGTAAAATGTTCTGTATCTAAGGATGGTGTAAATACGCCTTATACTGTTTTATTATTGCACCAACAACGTTCATCTATTAGTGCTTGTCAGGATTATTTCTGTGAAATGCAAATTTATGGCAGATTGTGAAAACTGGTTTGATGGTCTGAAAGTTTCTGTTATGTTAGTCGCCAAAACTGGAGAAAAATAAAAGAGACTTTAACATATTTATTAAAAGAACCATCTGGTAGATTTTCTTGGCTATCACTATCTCCTCTCTTTTTTAAAAATAGAATCAAGCGAATTGTTACTTTTTGTTTGATGTTTTCATAACTACTCTACTGAAAAGAAACAAAACAAAAAACATGTTTCAGGAGTGGGTGAAAAATATTTAGGGTAGTACCATTTAATTGGAACCACGATACAGACTGTCCAAGAGGAAGGGAGTTACACTAAGAAGCAGGGGCAATGAATATAAAAACCAAGTGGTTTTACTAACAGAGCGGAAAGCAGTTCCAGTTTGACAAGTTCACAAAAGTCAGCTTAGAAATAGGAGATTTAAAATATCACAGCAGAGTGCACTACATTTACAAATGAAAAGTTTTCTATGAATACTCAACTCTATATGACAAACCTGTTTGCTTAGCCCAGATACAAGAAAATCAGTACCTTTCTCTTACAACACCAAGGAGACAACTGTGGTTCAGACAGCCATAGCTGGAATGGGTAAGGACCGCTGGAGTTTGCAAGAGAGCTGCTGACTTCTTACAGGCTTGAAATTATGACTGTGCACACACACAAAGAAACATACACATTTACAAGGATTCATCCCCGTACATATTCTGTAGCAGGAACTGCACAATTGTGTCAGAAGAGATGTTTTTACAGCCAATGGTAATTTAAACTGGTTTAGCGAAAGTGAAGAGGAATTCTTGCCTTGTAGTTTCCAGGGTTATTCATAGTGCCTGTGTTACTTTTCAGTCTTCTAGCAAGCCATTTTAAGAAGAGACTGCGCACTTTTGATAGTAGCTCAGCAACTTCTTTTTTTTTTTTTTAAACCTATCTAGAGCTAGTTACTCTCCTACTCAGTGCATCAAGTGGCTCAAACAGCTCATCTTTTGACAACATTTTTATAACTCGAAACAGTGTATCTGGGATAAGTCTAGTCTGAACTGATGCACTCCCGTGTGAAATCATTTGGCTTCTCAGGTCTGCCCTTATGTTCCTTGCTTGCTTCTTTCTCTGGGGTCCAAAAGATCTATTCCTTCTTTGGAAAGTTTCTTGCTTTTTAAACATGTTTATCATTGGCTTTATCTCTCTTTTTTAATCTTTGGCTTCCTAGTCTTTACCTGATGGAACTTCCAAATATTTAACCATGACTTACTAGCCTCCAGTGGATTAAATTCAGTTTTCATTTGGTCTAAAGTTGGACTACCCTTGAGAGCTTTTGAAAATCTCACACCGAGTTTTCTTCTAGCCTTTTGAATCTGTCTTCATTGCACTTCTGACACCATACACTGTTTTCTGTTACCTTTGTTTACGCTAAGTTTCCATCTGGGATGATCTGTTATAGGGTCAGACTGCATCTGGAACCTTCCCATTAAACCTTGCCATTGAGTTTGGAGGTTTGTTTTGCTTTCTTATTCTCAGTACTCCAGGCAGTACCTGCCTGAGGTACGCTTAGGTGATTGTTTGACCTGTCCATCTGTTTTAGGTTTTCTGTGTATAGATATTTTTATGAGCTTTGTAATTTTTTTGTTTCAGTATACTAGCTTAAATTTCTCAGAGCATTTTTAATTCATTGTTGAGGAGAACAGAATATTGCCTTAATACATATCTTAATAGATGGACAGCGTAAGATTTATGATAACTGCTTTCTGTGTGTTCATGAGGCATGTGAGTGATGTGGCAGCTAAACTACATTTCTGTTACTTAGCAACCATACCAGCATCTTAAGATGAAGTGCTTTGGTTTTGGAATTGCAGAGTGTACGCTGTCCTCCTCCTTTCAGAGTGAAAAATTGGGATGTGTTGTAGTCAGAGAGAGAGTGGGAGAAAACAATGCCTCCTGTGAATCCTTCGGTCATATTCTGTAATTGCCATCACACTTTTCATCCAGTTCACCCAGTTACAGCTCCAACCCTATCTATATGGTTATTAATCTACAGTTTTCATCCTGCAATTAGGCAGAAAGCAAGCTGAGACATTTGGTGGAACAGAGGATCTTGTGGAAGGTTAGATGGATAAGGCTGGTGGGAAATCCCCACGCATTACACAGGAATTGTGTATTAGAAGCAGAAAGGGGAAAGAGCTGGGGGATTTGATTGTTTCCCTTTGTCTTCCATTTTTCTTACTTTTCTAAGATAGCTGCTTTTTCTTGTTCCATTTCAGTCTTCTTTTTCGCTTCTTTCCAGCTATTCACTTCGTTACACACAGGAATAGTCTACCATGGGGATCTGTGCCTTTTATTGGACTTAAGCGGAGGTGGTCAGTACATTAAAATTCTACTCCATATGAAGTTTATGATTTTAAAACATAAATGGTTTTCTGGAAAGGAAAGAAAGATCAAAATACTGACATTTGTGAATCTTAAATTAAAAAAGGAATATAAATAATAATGTTTGTATTTCTCTTACAATATTTAAATTACATTTTTTACATTAATTTCAAGGCTTATAGGGTTATGTTTTACAGTTATAATTATGACGTATTTAGTTTAGTGTCATTAAAGACTGAGTAGTTTTTAGTCAGCAGTTGTAATCATAAATTTTAATTGATAATTGCTTTGATAAAATATATAAAAAATTAAAAAAGATAAAATATGAAGAAGCAGAAGAAGTAATACAACATGTAAATGAAGCATATTTCTGGAAGGAAAGTAATTATTGTGAAAAAATGAATTATTTCTTTTTCAGATTTTATTTCTAAATCAACACAGTCCCTAAAATCATGGTCGTATCGGGAATTCAGCATGGAATACATATCTTTTATGCTTTTCAGACGAGTTTAATTCTTACTTATTAACATCTTTAACAATATAGAATGCTATATTCTGGATTACGTTTAAACACTTGGAGCTGATAAAAATAAAACAAATCTTCCTTCGCAAGTAGTCTCCCAGTGAAGCTAATATTTCACAAAAGAAATGTATCAGGATCTGCTGGAAAAATACGATTATCATTGCCTATGTTTATTCACTATAAAAGTTAATTTTGAGACCCCAGAATGGATGCTATGTGCATCAGTTTTTATGTACCTTATTGTTCTAACTGAACAGATGGGGACTAGAGATACAGTTTTGCCAAACAATGATGTTTACACCTTTAGAATGTGTGAAGGAAGATCAGAATCACATGGTGGACTAATTAGTCTGTTGCTGAAGGAATATTTCTGAGCTCTTCTTCCACTAACAAAAACTGAAAAGTCTTAGAATAATTGAAATTAATTCTGAAAGAGAATTGTAGAATTCACTTTAATTCACTTTGAATGAATTACAAAAATGCTAAATTGTAGAAAAAGAATCATTTTATGGCCTTCTTTAAGAAAAAAGTGCCTATGCAAAATCATTTGACTTGCTAATGCTATCTTTGTTCAAGTAATGATATTCAAAAATATACTTCCTACTGGAGGTGGAAAACCCAATTTAGTATATGTGGTAACGAGAGGGCATTGTTGGGTTCCCTCTATGAGTGACTCATGTCCCGAACCAAGCTCTTTGGGATGCTCAGAAATTCTCAAGAAATCTTTAGTTTTTGCAGGGTCACACCACGGGTATGGCACACCGTAAAAATAGCATTCACACATTACTTCAGCTTATATATTACAGGCGGTCAAGTAGTTTCTGCTTTTCCAGGATCTGTTGTCTAGAAGTAATTTTCAGCCTGTTTGGTATTTTCCGCTCTGCCTCTCTCTTTTCCATTGTTACTATGGGCGTTCGGACAATCACTTTTATTTCAGAGCTTATTTGTTTCTTGCTTGAAGGCACATATACAAATTCAGAAGGGACTACTATATTTCTCACTGGAAAATGATGGGGGAAGCTGGGCACACTAGGAATGCTGCGGGTTTGAATAACCTTCAGCACTGCTGGCAAGAAGACGCCAGAATGCACAAGCTGGAAGGCAGACTCACGTCACCCTGTAGCTCGTGCTGTCTGTCAGACGGTCAGGCATCACATCCCTCTAGCGCTCTCCAGTCGTCCAACGAAGTGAGCCGCAAAGACATTATTCACCGACAAATGAACCGCTGGTGCTGTCAGCGCCCAGTTTGCCATCCACCCCTGCTGTGTGCTGGTACTGCAGCTAAATCGGTCGTCCCGGTTCGGGTGCAGTGATGCTGGCCTGCGCAGGTAAGAGCTGTAAGAGCTACTACTCACACACTGCATCTGTTCATAGGGATATACTACTTATTGCAGGCTGCTGTAGCGGACACTTGCCCTCACATAGGTACACCCTACATCACTGTATCTGAACTGGGACTGTTGTTTTA